GAAAAAACGCGCCTGATTTAAATGTCACACCTGAACTCTCACATCCTTTTAATTACGTTTGAAATTATGAACATTGCTCAACATCATGAAAATTAAACCTTATTTTCAATAAGCAATCTTGAAAAAAACACGGGGGTGCTTAACTTTTTTCCAGGTGTATACATTTTGATCTTTACAGTACTTCATGCTCAAATCATTATAAACCATCTGATAATAGCAAACGGGTTGACGAAACATGCTAGGTCTGGCTAAATAAGTTTTAATGATTTAGTGATCCTGCACTCGGATATCTTTCAACTGAAAAAGGACAGAAAAAAATCACGGAAATGATGGCCACGAGTTTTCAATAACATATCATTTCACAGTAGTAAAGATTAGCATTTATTCTTGGTAACTTAGGTGCTGAAATAAATATTAATAAATTTTAAATACTTCCTGCTGTACCTTTCGAAAGCACTGAAGACCATTAAGTTATTATCTGATTTACTATGATTTATTTTTATCAAGCCAACGTGCTATATATTCAAAATTAGTATAGTATTTATAATTCTTATGTGTAATAAATTATGAGCGAAAGTTGAACGAAATAGATGCATAGTGCTTACTATATCAAACTAAGAAGGAACCGTATATAACAGTAGATTCTATTAGATTATATTTTACCAGAACATTTTCTTTTCTCTATAAAATAAATAAATATCTATTCACTATATCATGAACCTCAGCGTTATAAACCACTCCCTGTTTTAAAATCTATGAATCGAGATTGGCGGTGTGGTAGGTTTCTAGGTTTCTAGGTTTCTAGGACGAGTCTGTTTCGAATCTGTTTGATATTACAAAATATTCCCACACTCTAAGTTACAAGAGTGAAAGTGGTGAAAGTCAATCCCTTAGTGTGGATGGTGGGTGGTAGGGTGTTGCTGACTATCTGCTTCCCTCTGCCCAACAGTTCAAAATTAGGGACGGTGGCATATAGCCTTAGCAGCTTTATCATAAATACAACATACATACAAGTATGAAGTCTACAGGTAACTGAGCAATATTTGTTCGCATGCTCACAATGTATTTATCTGTTAACCAGACAACCTCGACTATATATATATTACAAAAAATTTGCTGGAAATCAGTGAATCACGAAGTGTAAAATCGCCTACGAAATACAAATATGGAAAAAATACAGCCAAGAAACAAAAACACATTTTGGGATAGTAGGTTGAAAAATTTGAACGAAGTCCTTCATATTACGCATGATTATACCATAGTTTTTGTAAAGTGTCAGGTGAAATTTGTATTTGAAGGTCAATGCATTATTTAATGTGAAAATAAATCCTCTTAAAATATGAACATGTTACATGAATAAAAACGGAAAATATTACACAAAATTGATTCTGCTTCATTGAATCAGTAGCTTGCTGCATAATGTATTAATTTTTTGGCGATTAATGATTCTCCTTTAACATGTATCACTATACTGTTATATTATGCACGTGTCTATTTACTTTATGAATCATTATGAGACAACTTCAAAGGGTAAAATTTTTTAAAGAACATAAAACGGATGATAAAAAAAATATACAGGACACTCGTAAATGAGTCTATAATATTCAAATAAAATCTAGCCTAAACGTCATTCTGTTGAACTATTCCACAATTTATTGTAAACAAGAGTTGCATTATTTCTCAGGTATAAAGATATATTGTTGCATATGTTTATAGTACCTCATATCTCACAACGTTTGATTTATGTCTGAAGAGCCCAAAAGTACTAATCATAAGTTAATGTTTAACATACTAAAAATAAATATGAAGCCCAATCTCTTATTCGATTTACCTTTTGCCACTGAGTTATTCTGGTTTCGGAGGATTCCAACCCTCATAACTGTGGTGAGTAAAATACAGTTAGAAACACCATACATAAATCACTGTATTCTATCTAAATGTCAGGATATACCTATATATATAAAATAATAAACACAAATATTAAAACTAAATAAAATCTTGGTTGAAACAATTTATATCTACTCTTATAGTAAGTTAATGAAACAGGCCTTAAGCAAATTGTCGAAGTTCATTTGTCAATAAATTTACCGGAATAGCACAGTAATACCATGCGGACGATTGTGAGAATGTATTAACTTGTTAGAATATGAAATACTAAACTCAAGAGGTAAGAGCAAATACTGCAGTATGAGCAAACTGGAACTTGTAGGAATCTTGTGATAGTGTATCATGTTATTTTGTTGCCTTTTATTTTGTCTGAACAATAACAGGGTATAAGAGTTTCTTTTTTCTAGACTAGGTATGATTAAACCACTGCAATCAGACTCTGTACGAATAAATAAGACTGTTTGATTCATATTGAATAAGATGTTTGATATCACTGAGTAGCTACAATATCTGATAAGTAGAAACCAAGAACGTTCGCCCTATTACAGTAAATGAAAATATTTAAGTCAAATAATTAAAACTGACAGTATAATTCACGATAAAAACAAATAATATCCATAGAGTTCACCATTTAATAGTTGGCAAAAGTTAAGAAGTTTGATGTATAATTTAGAAGACTAACTTTCTCATATAGCTTAGCGTTATAGTACACTGATTGCCACGTTATTAGAACCAGACTGATCATATAACGTGTTAGGTGATCGCTTGAGTCCTATAAACGAAAGCTTCAATCATAGCATGGCTTATCTCCTCGACTTTCAAAGTGTAATGGTAGTAGATGCTAGTCTAGTGGGGTCGTTCTTATCAGTAACTGATAAATCCGAACTGTTATTCAAAGACATTTATCGTCAAATTCTATCAAAATGGAAGGCGTTTGCGTCTAGGAAGAGCTGTGGCTAACAACCTATGGTGACAGACCAAGTAAAAAGTCGATTGAATTACATGCAAAATGCAAAAAAAAAGGCGAATATGTGTCACGTCACCGATTTTTTCAGTAATATCAGGATTTAATTATCTCTAGCTTTACCACCAAAAGAATATTATGAAAACTGTCGTAGGACAGTTGACAACAAATGCAATAAACACTTATTTCAGATACAAATAACAAAGTGTGGCTTAAGTGGCGTTTAGAAATGAAAATTTGGACAATGAAACATTTGCAGGAATGATGTGTTCTTTGATTCTGTACTTCACCATGTTGAGAAGGGACTATTTCAAGACAGTAATACATTAATCTTCCGCATTCATAGTGAACTTGGTCGGAATAACGTATTAATCTCTTTATCATCTTATTTTGTCAGCACAATTATCGCATTTCAAACCTACTGAACATCTTTGGGGTGAACATAGACGTCATAGTTTCCATCTTTTACTGACATTTGTGATCCAGTTGCAGAACTTATTCTTTGACGAGTGGGTTACAGTTGAACAAGGCGCTTTCAAGAATCTTGTGAAATCTACGTCAAGGTCGATTCCAGGATATTAATCGCCGAGAAAATGTAGGCCAACCCAAAGTTATGTGAGGGTTCTGAACATATATAACAAACTGGTCTGATATTTGATATTAAGTTAATTATGATTATTAATACATGAAACACTAGTGAAGAAGTTAAGAAACGAAAGAAGACAAATTTAATTTATTTGTAGATTAATCTGTACATTCAATGTCACAAGTGTTTTAGTTTGTTTGCAATTAAGCACAAAGCTACACAATGGGCTATCTGTGCTCTGCCCATCACGGGTAGCGAAACCCGGATTCTAGCGTTGTAAGTCCGCAGACATGCCGCTGTATTATGTAATATAATATAAGAGAAAAATGAAAATCTAAAAGAATTCCAAAAAATCACAAAAAGAAGATAAAGTGTATTTAAAATAAAAAATAGGAACGGCAGCAAAAGAATCACGACTTGATTTTACGTCATTGTATGATGCATGCAATCTATATTTTATAACACCAAGAAGCTATCAACGAGATAAATGTGAGTTGTAATTATAATGATTTCAATAAGGGTTGGATATACAAAGAAAGAAATATCACGGCTATAGCCACAAGATATTTTCATCGGACGTTTTAGAATTTACAAATTCCATCATCAGCGAGTTATAGGAAATATAAATTAAATGTGTGATTTAAAAATATAGAAGTTTAGATAAAATAAATATACGTTAAGAGCTGTAATTTAGGACAATTAGATTTACAATGACTTGCAAATTACGATTAGATGGTATAGGAATATGTTAAGTCAATATAACGATATCTGGAAGGAACTTGGGTTAATATTTAGAATTGGTAGTTCATTTGTAATTGATAAACTTTAATTAATAATTATTTTTTTAAGTGAACCTGAAGTAGAGAGTTTGAAACTGTAAATGTGGATAGGGTGGTCATTGTTTAAGCCGTCTGGAGAATGTAAAAGCTTAGACAGATAATCAAATGTGCTCCTAGGTTGGTATATGTAATTGGCGTATTGTTTTGCGTCAAATTAGTTAGCTTAACAATAGCCAAAAGTGCATTTATAAACAGCTAATGAGGACATAGAGGTAAGCAGAAGGTTTATAATTCCAACCGGATTCTGAACTCTGAATGGATATTTGAAAATTGTTTGTAGTTTAACTTGTGGATAATATATTTGATTATTTTTTATATTTTTATTGTGGATTATAAAGGTCTTGGTGATTTGGTCCAACAGTTTCTTAAGCCTTCCAGCAGCGTGCTGCTGCCAATGGGAAAGCAAATAAGATTTTGAGTTGTATCTACAGGAATGTTTAGCATTTATATGGAGCATTATGTTCAGCCGGGGCTCCTTACCTTAATAAGGACATTGAGTTGTTGGAAAGTGTTAAAAAGAGGGTTACTAGGATGATTTCCTGGAATAAAGGGACTGTCATATGATAAATTGTAAAAGGAATAGATATGATTCATGCATCATATTTTTTCGTATTTAACAGTAAGGGTAGTAGGACTAAAGAATATAGATTTACAATTTAGCGTAATTGAAGTCTTCTGTAAATTAAGCAATTTTATTTTTCGAGCAGGGTGGTTAGACTTCGGAATAGAGTATCTTCATACATGGTAGTCCCAACAGGACTGGGAGGGTTCAAGGGAAAAGCTTAATGAATATTTAAAACAACAGTGTTTGATGAAATGAATGGGACAGTCATGATGGGCTAAGGGTTCCCTTGTTTTTCCTCAAATGTTATGTCGTATTAAGAATAGTGCTCTGTTTGCCCAAAAAAGGAGGGACCAATATTATCAGTTAATTTGAGGCAATGTGTGGTTTAATAGCAGGTTCTGGTTTATTTGTCAGGAATTTACGTATAGTGGCTTAAAGAAAATGTAAGGGATAACCGTTATTTCTTAGAATGTTTTATAAAAAGATTATTTCAGAATGGATAGAAAGATAGTCAGAACAAATATCTCTCACTCTGTTTAAAATATTTAGAAAGAGGTTACGCTTAAAAGAGTTCGGCATAAAGGTGTCAGGGCTAGTGTGTAAGCCTGTAAATGTTTTTCTCGCTGTCAGAGTGTGTAAGCCTGTAAATGTTTTTCTCGCTGTCAGAGTGTGTAAGCCTGTAAATGTTTTTCTCGCTGTCAGAGTGTGTAAGCCTGTAAGTGTTTTTACTCCGATAAAAACATGTTATAGATCAAATTCGATGACGAGGAACCCACTTTGAGACTAATAATGGCTGGAGACGACCCATTCAAGCCGTCTCCAGCCATTATGTTATAGATCAGTTATTTGGTCTGTTGACTTGAACGTATAGAAAGAATAATTTTTCATGTTTTCTTTATCTTCGCTGGTAATACTGGAACGTTAAG